GTCCTCTTCCGTTTTTCCAATATTTACATCTCATTATCTGTCCTACATTTTGTTAACACGTATATTTCCCTTACTCCTATTAAATACCTTGGCACTTAGTCCCTCCACAGAATTTCCCTCAGTTGCGTTACACACCTTGACTCCTTTATTTTTCTTAGTCCCCTTATCGTTTCCCTGCATCTGTTCGTCATCAATTCCCCTATATTGAACTCTTCCCTAAACCACTCCCTTACCTGCTCCTGATTGATTTTTTTAATATCATCGATGACCTCTCCTTCTCTCCTTGCCATATCTATTTTTCAATTTTGCAATAGCTTTCTCAACCTCTCATATTTTACTACCCTTTTTATCGCTTCTTCCCGCATCTCTCTCTCCACATTTAAAAACCACTAAATATTTCTCTTAACTATTAAATGCAATTGCTTATTTTTCATATTTTAAGAGAAAACTGCTCTCCTAAAATTGATATTTGACGCTATCAATCTATTTTTAACTACCGTACATATTCAGAACAACCACAGACGTAGCCAAAATGAAAATTAAAGTAATATGATCAGATCTGAAGTTCCAAAATTTGAATAACCCCCTAAATGTCGTCTAAATATGTCAACCGTTTTGGCAATTTTTTAGTAACTCATTTTTTACTGTTTCTGTATCGACGATAGATGCATCTAAAGCCGATAAATAAATTATGGGTTTTAGAATTTGTCTTCAAGAATGTCCCTATTATAGAACCGATTTTTGTAGTATTTACAATACCTCATTTTATTGTTAATGCGCACCGTAAGTGCGTATGTTAGATTTACTAAATTCAATGTGTTCAATTTTCTTTTGGACTGCGGTAGGTACAGTACCTACGTATATTTTTCAGGGAAATGTCGAAAAAAGTAGGTAGTATAAATCATAGTAAAAGCTTTTGAAATAATAAAATGCAAAGTATCAGATTTTTCCAATACCGTCCAATTAGAGCAACTCGAGACTATGTAAATTTGAACAGGAACAGAATTTCTCATTAAATACAACGTTCAACTTAAATTGCATTTCCCTGTATTTGACAACGGAAAAGATAATCAAAAAGTCTATTTTAATTTTTAAATATAGCGCTATTTATAGAATTTAAACGTTGTGAAAATATAATATACTTTACTATACTATAGTAAGGTTAGTTATCGGCGCTAGGTTCGGTTTATACAAAAGCAAAATTGTACGCTTTTGTTAATCATGAATAAACATTTGCAATTAAAAGCAACGTTGACTGGGTACCTGTGCTATCACGTCACCCACAAATGCATAAAAAGCGTAACAATTCTGTAAATGTATGCAGATTACAAGTAATCCGGCAGACAAAACTGCGAGTAGCCATTGTAAAGCCAGCGAAAATGGTTTAAATGCAGGAAGTTAATTTGAATACGTTAATTTGTTATCTAAACTTGGCAATTAGTACTGATGCAAAATAAATTAAAAACTAACTTTTTATTTTTTAATAACAGAAAGGTAAAAGCTCTTTCTAAAGTCGTTCAAAACCTTTTGCAAAATATCAAGATATATTTGATTTATTAATTTATTATTAAGACTTGGTATTTTTGTCCCACAATTTTTTATTTAAAACTGACAATTGTTTCGGCAGTTATGCGACTATGCCAAGTGTTTTTATTTTCTTAATATAAAATATGTTCCACCAAGAGCCAAGCCAGAAATCAATTTCGTTAATATTATTTTTATTGATTTAAACGAAGAAGTAACAATAAGAAGTAAATAATTGATAATCCAAAGAGAAAGAATAGTCGAAGTATAACTGACATTCTGTTAATTATCAAACATTAATGTGAAATTAATTTCTTTCCACTATGGTTTACCTCAAGTTAATAAAAACAAAATTTTTGTTGCTGTCAAACCCTTGCCGGGAATGGAACCTGAACCCTTGACTTTACGCACTCTTACCACTAAGTACGAGACGTGATAGGTAGGAGTAGGTACCGGTGTGTAAAGCCAGAGACCCAGGTTCGATTCCCGGCAAGGGTGTGACATCAGCAACAAATTTTTCTTCATTAACTTGAGATAAACTGCAGTGGAAAGAAATTAATTTCGCATCTATGTTTAATAAAAAAAGTAAAAGTTCTTAGTGTTGGTATTTTGCATAAAAATGTAGATAATTTATTTAAATGTATATGAATCCCGTCCTTTTAACAACTTCCTGATTGCAATTCATTCCATAATTCATAGATAGGAAGATTGATTATACCTACCTATGCATACGTAAAGTCCTTTAATAAAAACAAAATTTAATTGAAACATAATCTAGAGGAAACAAATTAATTACCAAATCAAGTCATTACTTAAATTCGTAAAACACCGATTGCGTTCGCGTTCTAAAAAGGTGACGCTTATGTGTGAACGCAAGTTTCCATCGACATCATCATAATGTCGTCAGTCCTAAGACTCCACCCTTCCATATCCTGAGCTAATCTTCAAATTTCCTTAAAACTAGAACTTCCACATCCTTAACAGTAATCTAACCTAGATCTACGTCTCCTCCTCTCAGCTCCTGTTTCTGCTTCTAATATGTCTTTAACCTAGCCCTTCATGCATGAGAAGGTGTCCTACCGAACTATCTCGCTTTTACTTATTGACTTCCACAGTGACCTGTGTTTTCATATTCTTTTGAATACTTCTCCATTTCTAGCCTTCTATGTCCACGGTATCCTCATCATCCGCCTGTAATAACACCATATTTCAAACGCTTCCAACCTTTTCTTTCCCGCCACGCCCACCCTCCAATGTTTCGCACCCCTACAGTGTCACGTTCCAAACATATTCCTTTCAATCTCTTTCGAATTTGTTAATTAACTGTTCTCTACCGCTCCTTCTTTCCTGAGTTATCTGACTTCCTATATACCGAAAGCCAGCCACTTCATCTAATTTTTCGCCTCCTCCCGAGTCAAAAAATTGGGACTCATTTTGTCCTCATTTGATCTCAATAGAATTTTTAGGGATATTTCAAACTACAAGACTCAAAAGTCTCATTTTATCCGCGGTTTTCCCGTATCAGGACAAAATGAGGCTTTTGAGGAGTAAAGATTATTTAGGAAACCTCATTTTGTCTTCAAAAAGTCTCATTCTTTTCTTGTTGAGGTTAAATTGAGGATTGCAGACATTGAGAATAAAATGAGACTTTTTAGAATCCAATGTGATGAGTCTTATGAAAACTTATTGAGGTATCTGAGATTAAAAACGTCTAAATGAGGGAAAAATGAGTCTAAATAGTTCATTTGAGGATAAAATGAGTCCCAATTTTTCGACTCGGGCTTACTTTTTCTTCCCTTGCATACCAATATTTCTGTTTTACTTTTATTTATTTTGTCAGTACCGCTTCCATCTTTTTAAGGCCTCCTCCTTGCGAGAAGCTAGTACGACCATACCGTCTGCAAATCTAACCATACTAAACTTTTGCCCCTTTATATCTATCTGTAAAATTGTCGTATTTTTAACGGTTTGACGCATCTTCGATGTACGTTTAGATAATAAAGAAGTTCCCTTCGCGAATTTAAATTAAATTTTAACAAAAGGCTCCAAACTCTCTGAGTCCTTATTATCTTATAGCAAGGGGGTAAAAATCGATAGTCATTCACTATTTTATTCATGTTGATTTAAAATAGACGTTTGACTTCATACCCCCGATCCCTTACTTATTCATTCTGCAAGCGTCCAAGGAGGAGCAATTTCTAAGATTTTGCTCCAACCTTACTAAAATACAACTGCCCATGCACTCGTGTACTTTAATACCATAATGCCGCAAAATCCACATAAATTATTCTAAAGCTTAATACGTAGCGTGCTCGCAGTCTCACATGGCTAGAAAATATGGCAGGAAACTTCCCAAAAAAGTTCTACGCTCGATGGACTCCGGTGTCCTATTTAAACTTTTACGGGTTTGATAAAGTGTTCATTTTTATACGTTGTTTTGCTCGAAACGTTTAAAATTTAATTTTAAGTGGGGCTCCAGGAATGAACTGGAAAGAATATCTGTTTTCATAAAATAAAATAAAAATTAATAATCAATTTTTCAATATCCGGATTTTTTAACGACAAACACTTTGCTTAGAGGTCGCCACGGGATCCACATGACAGATTATCCTTAATTTTTAATTCAGATTAATAGAAAACAGAATCCTATGCTGTAAAATTTTACTGTAAGCCATTACTATTTCTTAATTTACATTTGAATTTCAAACAAATCCTGTCTTACAAATTAAGAAAATAGAAATGCTTAACCACATTTGCTATTAATCACACTAAAAATTAGAATACGACACAAAATCGGTTAATTATTTCCGAAGAATAATTTCCCGAGGTAATGAAGTGGAGCTCTTACGTCATATGAAAATACGACATCCTAAAATTCAAATGTAATTAGTACTGAAAATATGTCGGCACTGCAATGCGAACGCTTCTGTCACAATGGCAGTAATCTTTATATGAGAACAATAACATATAGTTACTCGTACATCGTGGTAAATGGTACGATAAATTGACTCAATCTATGTGATGAAGCTCAACATCAGCAGGATGAGTCAGTAGAGAGGGTGACGCTTCCGTTTAATTAGAACTTTCATTAAAGAATGAATTGCGGAATTAATTAATATATCGTAGTTACCATAACACAAAGGATATGTTAATTGGCAGTTTTATTATACGATGTATACTATACTTCGTTTACTTTCTGTAGCAATGTGACCTTCAGTTTGACCGGCGCAAAGTAGAAAAGAACAGCACTAGGCCAGAAAAGGAAGGAGATAACTCTCGGCCAAACTCTTAATAGTACTGCACGGAAAAATTGACCATTTTATCCACTACAATTGCATTGCTTAAATGTGCTGTTATTGGTACCAATTAATACTGAAAATATCAACGAGATGTTTATTTATTTTTGAAGACATATTAAAGGCTTTNATGCTAATTTGACGTAATATATATATATATTAATTAATTATTTAGTGGAAGTTTAATTTAGATAAGTATATTTTTAAGTAGATGGTTATTTAAAATTTTATTTTATTTAATTTTGTACTTTAGAAAAATGCCCATTTCTTCTGTCTGTCACCTCTCTTCCCCTAAAAACTCCATACTTCGGGAATGGGTCAATGCAGACCATAAAGGAGTCCTAAAATATTTCAAATTTGAAATGATTGCTCTAAAATTTTCTTACGATTTGTTGAAGGAACTTCAACATTCTTCGATTCAAAACTTTTTTTGTTTTTAAAATTCACAAAGAATGTACATAGGCCAAAATATTTTTGTGTACCTACCTATCATCGACAACCACGTCGGAAAAACTGTCCTGCTAGCTATCAGAATCTCGGTCGGGTGTAACTAATTCAACTGTCGTAGCCTCTGGTTCTGATCGTTCCTCAAGGACCGTGTCCAATTCTAGCGAAGGAAAACCTCTACTCATTGCCCTCTCAGATTTTAACGAGACTGCCCTCGACGAGCGACCTGCATACATAAATATATCATTAAAAAATACCGCCCAATTGAATCCACATTATTTGTATTACGCTGTGTTTAGCCGTCCGGTTCTAATAAAAATGTGACTTCACGTCACTTTCATACTATGTCAAACAACCTAAAACACTGTTTGCCTTTAAAGTTCTGATATAGCCGGCCTGGGTTCTATTCCCGACCGATACGATATTTTTTTGTTTTCTCCTTAATTTCTGTTATGTATTCTTTTTCTTGTTATTGTTACGTTTTTAAAAAAATAAGCTATGATAAAAGCACATACCGGTACCGAAAGGCTAGACACAGCCTTTGTATTGTCATAAAAATGAACAGTAAAATTTTTAAGAACAGTTAGGTACATTAATAATAACTATACGAGTTGCGATCATTTCCAAAGTCTATAGCAAAGGATTTACAGTGAAATTGAGGTTTCCGAGATTGGACGGCATTCATTTGTCTGTTGCCAGCGTTTCATCCTCGATCACGCATGACATCTTCACCCGGAATTCCAAATTTCACTGTAAACAATATCCACGGAAGCAACAGAAAAAGAATTTATTAAAAACGTGAAAATGTGTCGTCATTTATATAATGATTTTGTAGAAAAGGGCTTTTTGTACAGGCAAAAGTACTGCTTTTGTTAGGTAACACGTGAAATCTTTTAAGGAAACAGCTATTTCCTACTTTCCGGGAATAAGGAATTAGAGAGAGTATTTGGCGTGTTGATTAATCGGATTAGAACGTGACCCTTTTCGTAAAATATATTAATCTGGTATATATATATATATATATACCATAATATTTTAAACGTTGTGTCGTTGAAACATTTGATTATTTTCTACAATATTTTTTCCATAACTATTATTTCATTCAAAAAAGTTTTAGAAAGAGAGTATTAGGCTTTCACGCCCGATGTTGTTTTTTGTGAAATCGTCACTGTACATGCTACAACACAGGCCAAAATGTCTTCGCAATATTCAGAAGCATCTAACTCAATGAATTCGTTAATATTCTACTAACTAAAGTTTAACAAAATATAAAGGCTAGACAAATGATTTCCAATTTTTTGAAGTGAAACTTCTTTACGCACGATAGGGTAAGTTCGTTTCATGCGAGTTGCTATGTAACGAAATCATGCAACGCATTTTCTCCGCTGTCTGTCCCTATGTATGTTTAAATCTTTAAAACTACGCAACGGATTTTAGTGCGGTTTTTTTTAATAGATAGGGTAATTCAAGAGGAAGGTTTATATGTATAATACATGCATAATATAGTAGAGAAACACTGATAATTTTAGAGGTTTGTAATGTGATGTCGTAAATAAACATATTTTTTTGCGCTTACATTGCAAACGCTGGCTGAACCCTACGAGATAGATCAAAATAATGTACTACAATATTGTACATCTTAAAAGGGTCTACAAAAATGTCCGGGATGGTATATGTCTATCTTTTAGGGATAACCCACAATAACCATTTTTATCCTTTACTTTTTATGAGAAATAATGACTTATTTACTAAGCGATTTTAAGCAATACAGCATTAATCCTTATCCAATTAAGTACTTTTAAATACATTGTACATTTATATAGATCAATATGGCCTTTACAGCATGTAATTTAAATGAATATTTTCGAAGATATTACAGACTTAAAATACTGGGACATAGCGGTTGCGGCGGTACCTGCCGGTTTGTATTGTTTAATGACAAAAAGCTATGATTGTTGTATATATAGACATTCTATAGTATATTTACTATCAGCATTGCACCCGTGCGAAGCATAGTGAACAAATAATACCATTAAACCAATTCGTTAACCCCTATCCCTATATGTTTGTGTTTTTAAAGAAGTTTCACTTCAGTCGCGTGTTGTATAATTACACCTTGTATATTTTTTTTAAACTGTGTCGTGAAAATTATGTGACGTAATCCCAAAAATAACACCGATCAGAGAGCACGTTTCACAGTGCCCTCCGATACGTATCCTATTTTTCACTACCCTTTGGCCACGAAATCAAACTTTCTTGGATAAGTAATTTAGGAATCATGTTCATCGAAGTAGAAATTGTAAACGCTCTCGATTTGGACAAAGTAATCTTTTTGCACTTTTTATGTTTTAATGAGTGTGGGAGGGAGGAGAAAAATTAGCACATGGGCTAGAACTTTCGATGTATGGGCCTTAGTTCACCCTTACCTACATCCCTACATGCATAACAGTACATATCTATGTTACCGGAAATGTGTGAAATCTAGGAATTGTATACAAATCCTAGGCTGTTTAGAAAATGTATAAAATATTGTTTCAAAGATTTTTTAATACACATATATCCTGAGAAATGTATACATTTCCTAGGAATTTTAGAAAATACTACAAATGGCGCAGTAAACGCCATCTGTAGCACGATGCTAAGAATTGTATGAAATTCCGATATTCCGATAAAATAAATTATTGGAATGGAAATCTTTGTACAGTATTACCAACATAACTTGTGCTACCGTGCTGTTCAATGTTATCGAACATTTTGTATAGTATTAGCGATACATCTCTGGATAAGCGTATTCTAAGAGGATTGACTTATAGGTATAGGTACGTACATTCTTTGATTGATTGATTGGTTGGAGTGCAATAAAAATGAAAACACTACGTTCTTGCTCCTTAACATTATGAAACAACTTTTACGACAGGGTTCGTGTTCTTAGTTACCTATGTAGTGTATTGAGCTGAACCTTATAATAGACATAGTACCGTGTTCAGTATCGCGTTTTCGGGCTTGCTCTCGTGCCATTTTCGCACGTCTTCTTAGACAGCATATCACCAGAAGCGCCAACAATGGAAATCCGAAGATACATGAAACAATCGGGATAACAACTGTCTCGGGAAGAACTGTAACATAAATCAAAACATGGCACAACTTTCTTGATTATTTATGTATAGAAGCCCTGTCTCGTCTTCATTGAAACTGGCCTCAATACTAACGAAAATATTTTCTTTTGTGGAAATCCTTCATGTTAAGAGAACATTCATGAAAGTTTAATTTCAATTACTTTCGTTTATTTAAAAACAATTGCTACAGTTACAATTAGTCTCCAAGTAATTTTACATTTTATTCGTCAATTATCACGAAATTATCGTACCAAACTGTTGACTTAAAACTATTTTTTTTTAAGTTTTTAATACCTAAAATGAAACATATTTTCAAAGAAAGTGTTCTTAATTATGACAAAATGCGCAAATGCTGTATTTTGAGAAATTGGGCTAAGTCCACTGATATGCAACAAGGGCTTTCCCAAAATTAATCTTCTAGAAGAAACTATGGAAGCTGTCACTAACTTTATATTCGTCATGATTTATAAAACCGAAAATTAATTAATATGAAACAAAAATATTGGTATGTAATGATCTAAAGTAGAATTACGACTAATATGAATAAAGATAAGACAAGAAACGAATAAACTCGCTGATTTTTGATATTTAAGGAGTTAGAAGTATGAAGTAAGAAGGATGTAAGAAGCGCTAGAGATATAAAACAAAAAATAGTACAGGGTCAGAGCGATTAATTCACAAATTAAAAGAGAATTAGAAACGTTTGGGATGCGGTGTAATAGGAGGATGTTAAAAATATCGTGGATAGAAGAAGTTACAAATTAGAAAGAGAAGGATAATGTAGGGTATTATATAGGTCAGTATGAAATAGGCAAGATAAAAATAGATTTTTACGACATCTTCTCAGACGTCAAAGGCTACTTAGACAATATTAGAATCAGAAACAAGAGTGGATATAGTAGAAGTAGACGTAGATTAGATTACCTACTGCTTACAAATTAATACACGGTAAGAGATGTGAATTGCTCTGGTTTTTGAAAAATACGAAAATTGATATTGGTAAATGCCTAAATTAAAATTTGAAATTCTACCTGTCGGATAAATTACGATCGGCCTTTTGCTTTGCGTTTGTGTTCCAGTTTGACTTGCTTCAGTTGTAGAATTACGAATGGACATATTCTCTGGGAATCTGTAATGATAAAAATTAATGTTTAAANGGACGGAAGGAGTAGTAGGGATATAAAGCAGAGGATAGCGCAGGGTCGTGTCGCCTTTAATAAAAACAAGTCACTTCTATGCTCGCGAACGGTTAATTTAGAAATTCGAAAAAGATTGTTGAAGGTATATGTTTTGAGCACGGCATTGTACAGGTGCGAAACATGGACGGTGGGCGCGGCGTAAAAGAAAAGGTTAGAGGCGTTCGAAATGTTGTGTTATAGGCGCATGATGAGGATATCGTGGGTAGAAAAGGTTACAAATGAAGAGGTATTAGAAAGAATAGGAGAGCAGAGGACTCTATGGAGGTCAATAAAAAATAGGCGAGATAGGTTGGTAGGACACCTTCTCAGGCATGAAGGACTAGTCAAAGACATATTAGAGGCAGAAACAGGAGTTAGGAGGGGTAGAGGTAGACCTAGATTAGATTACTGTTCGCAAATAGTTAACGATGTGGACTGTTCTAGTTTTGAGGAAATGCGAAGTTCAGCTCAGGATAGGAAAGAGTGGAGGTACGTGTCCAACCAGTCTTGATGATGTTGATAACACATGGTTTTAGTTCCGAAATTTCTGTCGTTTAATAAATCATCAAACATTCATATGTAGAAATAAAATATTACGAAATGTTCTCTATAAGGTATAGATTTTTACTCTTCGATAAAAATTTTCATTTTCCGCCATCCGCGGGTGTCGTTATTGAATACATGTATCATTTCTCTTTTGTTTTATATTTAGGTACAATAGCTCTGGGGAACTTTTATATTCGACTTCCGCAGCTTTTGTTCAACAAGTTAATAACGTCATCTTAAATCACGTCTTGCCTCTTGCTGGCAATCTTACAATATTGTAGGTTCGAATTTTTGTGTAGCAATATGTTCGATAAGTGAAAATCTCTTCACAACTCCACGACCTATTGGTAGAAACTTCTTTATTAATAAGTATCTACTGGTAAATCCATTCGTTCTATCAGCATTATTGCTCTCAGTATAGCTTTCTGTTTGTTTTGTTTCGTAACTTCAAAAGTTCTTTCGGATTCCTCGTAAGTTTTGGAACATGGTGGGTCTTATTTCTATTTTTATCGATGTTATTGTCTCATGCACCATATAGCTTTTGAAAGGCTTTTTGTAGTAAAAAAAAATATTCATAAGTCAGAAAACTCAGGAAGTAACAGAATAGAGATATAAAACAAAGAATAGAGCAGGGTCGAGTCTCCTTCAACAAAAAGAAGTCACCTCTATGCTCCTAAACGGTTAATTTATAAATTCGAAAAAGATTGTCAAAAGTGTATGTCTGGGGCGCGGCAGTGTACGGGTGCGAAGCATGGACGGTGAGTGCAGCGGAAAAGAAAAGGTTAGGAGCGTTCGAAATGTGATGATACAGGAAGGGTTAGGTTAGGTTAGGTTAGAAATGAAGAGTTATTAGAAAGAATAGGAGAACAGAGAGAGACTCTATGGAAGTCAATAAGTAGGGTGTGTTCCGAAATATAACCCAGCATACTGGTCAGTGCTGATGACGTCATGAATCGACGCCATATTGTACTGGTGTGCCACCATATTGTACTGGTGAAACAAGTGTGTCGTAACAGTATATCAAACGGGCGTGTGTGCTTCAGAGTTTGGACAATTTTTTACTGTAATAAACGTTAATAACTTTTGAAGCAAAATTGTTGTAAACGAGCACAAACACTGTTCTCAATATGGCGTCAATTAGACGTTTACGCACTGGCCAGTATATTTCGGAACGAATCAATAGTATGGCGTCGATTCACGACGTCATCAGCACTGGCCAGTACACCGGGTTATATTTCGGAACACACCCCTAATAGACGAGATAAGTTGCTAGGAAACTTTCTTAGGCATTAACGGCTAGTTAAAGATATATTAAAAGCAGAAACGGGAGTTAAGAGCAGTGGAAGTAGACTAGACTAGATTACTCTTCCCAAATAGTTAAGGATGTGGGATGTTCTAGTTAGGGGATTGCGAAGATTAGCTGAGAATAGGAAAAAGTGGAGGTGCATAACCCAACCAGTTTTAGGACATACGATGATGGTGAAGTAGCAAAAGTTTTTTAAAAATCATCTGTGTAAAACTGAAACTAATTATTTCTTCAATGAAACATATTGTTGATTTTTGGATTTATAATAAATAATCGTATTTCATATTGTGAGTATCAAAAGTAAACCTAAATCTTTCGATTAGATATTTGACTAGTCATCTAATTCCAGAAATTTGTATCACCAAAGAATATACCTATGCCAGAAAATTAGCTCATTAATATATTCTACACTGTTATACATGTTATACCAATATGCTGCCGTATTATTCGATATTTTCAAGGTTCTAGCATATTACAAATTATGTGAATATCCCAAAAATGTATCCTACTGATTTATAATTATTCATTTTGAAATCCCATTTTTAAAAATTAAACAAATATGAGAGACCACTGCGGATTCTTTATAGGTCCTGTGCTTTTAATCGCTCTTTTGATTTTTTTTTCTATTTTGGCGTAAACTTTGACATTGATGTGAACAGATGTGCTGAGTTTTACTAAAAATAATTGTTACCACATTCGCTACTTAGCATCAACATGTCAGTCATGGTGTGCCCTAAACAGGAATAAATCTCCATTACCAAGTCAGCTTTGCATGTTCGTCGAGAATTGCAGTTTCTGACTTCGCCCTTCACCTGACGCGTGGCATATTCTTTTCAGCCGACAATGTAAAATGATACGAAGCAACGGGGCTGCAGGGCCAGGGTCATATTTCATCGTCACATTTCCACATCTATTTATGTGGCGTCGCAACGCCTCGCGTCGCTTTATTGAAAACGACCGCGGTTTTATAATAACATGATGACTAGATAAATCCTCATCTAGTTATTCGCGAATGGAATCTTGCGAGTGAATATGAAAGATTATATTATGATCTCGACTGTTAACTTTAACGAGTTGAAACGACTGCATTTGAATGTTGTGCTTGAATATCCCCTAAAAACGACTAGAGAAATGGCTGGCTTTCGGTATCTAATAGGAAATCAGATAACTCAGGATAGAAGAAGCAGTAGAAATATGAAACAAAAAATAACGCAGAGTCGAGTCGCCCTCAACAAAAAGATGTCACTTCTATGCTCGCGAACGGTTAATTTAGAAATTCGAAACAAATTGTTAGTCGATATCTGGAGCACGACGCTGTTCGGGTGCGAAACGCGAACGGCGAGCACGACGGAAAAAAATAGTTGGAAATGTGGTGTTTCAACTTACTAACTAGATTAGAGCGGTTGTTCACGAAACGCCTACTTTTATTCACTGCAGACTTTGTAGGGAATATCTTAAACACACAAAAGAGATGTCAGGTAGGAATTGCAGCGGACAAACAACCTCTAACCACTGCACCGCTTACTGTTTTTTGGTTACCTCTTCACTTTTTCTATACTACTCATCAAGCTTTTCCCAATTTACCACGAACGATAAGATACGTCCATTATCACAGATAATTATTAATATTGTAGATAACTATGCCAATTTTGAACGTCCAAACTATAAGACACTATTTCAGCCATGAAGGACTTGTTAGAGACATACTAGAAATAAAAACAGGAGTTAATAAAGGTAAAAGTTAGAGATTATTAAAATTTGCTACTGGGATCCGTCAAATGGGCAGACACAATCTGGTGGCAAAATTTATAACTCGAATAAGGGAAAAATTTACATAGGAACTGTGCACGCAAATTGCAAAATTGTTTATTAAAATAATAAAACACGTTAAAAAAGTAAAAATTTTTTTGATGATGGAGTCGACGAAGTTTTCTTCTAAAGTTAAATCAAATAAAAAGTTAATATGTTCAGTGAAAAGCTGCAATAGCACTTCAGACATAGATCTTCACTCTTCACCTACATTAATCACTTTCCAATAAAAACTAACCGTTTTATATATGTAAAAAGTATATTCGGAAAATTAGATTAATTTTATAATGTGATTGGCATTAAAAACACGCTCACCTTCAACGAAATTTCCTTTCCGAGGCTTTGTGTCAGCCCAATCACATATTGTGTAAATACTTATCATTTTATCGTAATTTAAAAACTTGGAAATTGCACGGTACACTATAGGAACGACGATAAATTTTCCCTAATCGGTGCCATGTTTTTAGGCTCCTCCCATTTGACGGATCCCAATAGTTTTATAAAATGTGGAGATAGACCAGCTATAGTTAAAGACATTATGATGATGAATGTCAATAAGGCAACTCCAAATAACAACCCCAAAGATTTAAGCTTGAAATAATACACTTAATAAAGCAATATCTCTTGTGATTTATGGATGAAATTTTTAGCACGTTTCAGCACTATAAGCAATGTTAATGTAGGTGCGAAGTCGGCGAAGTGTAAGTCTCTTCATCCATTCCTTCCATCAGGACGGAACGGTTGAACGGGTTTAGATATATTTTACTCGGATAATAGCGTATGTGTTCACTACGTGGAAAACCGTCTGTTGTAGTGTGTAGAGTGGCTCTTTAAAGGAAGTCAGAAATCTGCTCAACACAACACGATGTTCTCAAATCGTTGTTCAATCGGATTTTTTTTTATTAGAAGATTTGACATTCAAATGCAAGATTTGCTAAAAAACATACGGTAATACTTTGTAGTTGAACATTAGGCCTGCTCAGAAAAAACAAAACCAATAATCAATTCTAAATCAAGGTCTCGAGATTTTTAAAAATTTCCAAACTTGTTAAAAATTTTCATTCTTTTTTGTAAAACTTAATTTTTAATACATTAATGTGAATTAAATTCTGTAGTTGGTTATATCATGTTAATGTGTTAAAAACTGATTTGCTTTTATTTTTTTTTTCGTCATGTTATTATTGCCTACGTTGAAAATTCTATCATTCTGAAAATTACAAGTCGATGTATTAATCAATAGAATCCGCTCAAAATTATTAAATTTTTAAAGTAGTGTACCTACTTTGTATG